AGTCATTGATTGAGTATTTATTTATTTCACAGATTTGACATGCAATGTCTTGAATATATTTTAATTGACCACTCTTTTTCAATTCCAGTGCCTCGACTTTTCTAGTTAAAGATGCAAACTTGGCTTGAAGGTCATGATCTTCCCTAAGGTTATACATACCTCCATTAGATGTATGAAGTTGGATTTTATTTAGAGTCTCATACGTGTTTGTCGTGTTCTAATTTTGAGCATTTTCAGCTAACAAGTCTAGGTACTCCATTTCTTTATTAGGGTCTTTATCTTCAAAAGTTCCATTGCACATCAATTCAACCATTTGCCTATCTTTAGGTGTTAAGCCTTCATAAAAATATGAAATCAATCTCTATTTTTCAAAACCATGATGAGGGCAAGCATTAAACAAATCTTGATATCTATCCCATCATTGATAAAATGTTTTTCCTGGTTTTTGAGTGAAAGTGGTGATTTGTCTCTTGAAAGAGTTTGTTCTATGAGATGGGAAAAACTTCTTCAAAAACTGTTGTTGCATTTCATCCCAAGCACGAATGGATCCTGGTCTTAAATTTTGTAGCCATGTTTTAGCTTTATCTTTTAATGAAAAAGGAAAAAGCTTTAATCTGATGGTGTTCATGCTACAATTTAAATTATTATATGTGTTGCAGACCTCTTCAAATTCCCTTAAATGCAAGTATGGATTTTCCAATTCTAAGCCATGAAAAGAAGGTAAAAGTTGAATAATACCTGGTTTAAAATTAAAATGAGATGCATCAGGAGGAAAAACTATGCATGATGGTGCACTTGTTCTTGTGGGATTCATGTGGTCTCTAAGTGTTCTAGCACGGTTATTCTCATTATTCTCATTTTGAAGTGATTGATTATCTTCTTCGGCCATATTTTCTGAAAATGATGAGGATACCCTACAAAGTCTACCACTTGATGTACGTGACCACACTCTCATGCACGTGTAGGAATAAAATAAAAAGAAGAACAAGAAAGCAAAAGAAGGAGGAAGAAAACAAAATAAAAAGAAACAAAGTTATATACAAGAAAAGTGAAAAGAGAAAATAAAATAAATACTATAATTTATACAAGAACTTACCTCCCCGGCAACGGCGCCAAAAACTTGACACGACTAAAAGATTGATGTCTTCTCCCAAGTGCAGGAGTGTCGAAGTAATAAATAACCCGGCAAGACCGGGGTCGAACCACAGGGAGGTTAATTGTACAAATTATAAATAACAATTATAAACAACAATAATAACAATAACAACAATAACTATAATAATAATAATAATAATAATAATAATAATAATAATAATAATAATAATAATAATAATAATA